CGTGCTCGTGGAAGTCGGCTTCTGCGTAGCAGAACCAGGCTTCGATGTTGTCGGGCCAGAAAGGCATCAGTTGAAACGAAGGCTGGGACAAAGTCTTAAGCTTGAGTACTTTAGGTGTCTATTCAGTCATGATGAAGTATGAAGTACGATAATGAACGAGGGGAAAAAATATATATATCCAAGAAAAAACACGAAAAAAAATCACAATGTTTAAAAAAAATAAAAAGTAAGGCAATGATATATAAAAATCCCAAAAAGGAACAGACTCACAGTTTACAATTTGGTGTACCAGATCACGTTAGGCTCACCAATGAAGATGCCACAGGTATCCGGAGTTTGACAGCGCTTTAACCAGTAACACCTAATATGAATCGTACCTACCAAGAGAAATCAAAAGACAGAAACGAGGAGGTTCGAAGATATATTTGATAGGCTATCAATATATCGAGAATCGTCTGATCTAATCTGGCTAGCGATTGCATAGGTTTGTTGAGCATAGCGTTCCCACTCGTGATCTGGTGCGGATGCATGACCGAGCGCCTTCAGCTAGGTGAGTCCATTAAAACATGTGGTCAGCATCTAGTGTCGAAAACTTACAGAGCTATTTATTTTGGGGATTTATTTACCGCTACAATATCCTCTCTTTTTCTTCCCATTAGATCGAGACGTCTCAGAGGACATAGCAGGCTGGTAGAAAAGCCATGAACGAACAAAATACCCGTAGCATACAGGTTTTCACTCTGAGTCATAGAATCTTAGGACATGTTACTCGAAGCAGTGGTGTCCTCACTTTCAATTGACTCATTCAAGTGAAGACTGGACACTCATGAAAGCATACTAAGAAAGAAATAACATAGGTTGTAGGCCTTCTGTCTTTACTGCACAAATCTGTATCTGACTGTAGTGGTGGAAATGATAATTCCCGCTTCATTCTGATTGGTCGCTATGTTGTGTTTATTCCCATGCTCGTTCAGCCAATGGAGAAGTAGTTACGCGTACATATCTCACAAGCGCTGACGATAGATCTCTTCTGTTCCTGTAAATGAAGACTAAGCGTGTTAAAAACTACAGGAGGACTATTGACTTGTATGATACTCATTTTGGACTGAAAACCAATCCACTTGAAATACTGGTTGACAGTACTTTTGCACGACAAGCATTAGTACAACAGCTTCACATTGGTCAACAATTCAAGTGTACACTTTCGTGCGAATTTATTCTGGTTACATCATCATGTATTATTCTCGAGTGTGAAAAACTAGGTCAGTTGTTTTCCGGTGCACTACAAATTATTCAACAATACAAAGTTCTGAAGTGTACACACAAAGTTCATAAAGACACATCTGCCTTTTCATGCATAAAAAGGAGAATTCTCACTGCACGGTCAAAAAAATGCTCCGAAACTAAGTCTAGAAAGGGTAGTTTGTTATTTGCTCTAGCTTCTAATGATGAGTTACTGCAACAGTATGCCAGGACTGTCCCTGGAATGCCGATATTCTTCATTGCTCACAAGCGAATCAATTTGGAGTCTATTCCTACTCCAGTTTCGTTATTGCTTCAACAAAAGGCTACACGAGCACCGGACTTGACACTTTCAGAGGTGAGTTTTGTTAGAAGTTTCAGGTTTGTCCTAACTTCATTTTATGATGCTTTATTGGGAAATAAAATAGGCACTAGTTTATTTCCCAGTCTTTCTCATCATGCTGGTAAGGTATCAGACTTACTGAATATTTCACTAATTTGCTAGAGTATAGTTGTTGTGTTTTGTATATTTAGGTGTAGTTAATTGCCGCTGATCCTCAATTCCTAGGATTACAAAGGCGTTACAGTCGCTTCAAATTAATTTAATTGGACGTCTAACTATCAAATAAATGTCAAGACGTCTCGTTTTTCATAAAATGTGCTGTTTCTTGGCCAATTACTTGTCTAGTTATATCATGTTAGTGTGAACACATTTTCGCGATTACCCAAATTATAATCAGGTAATTTACCCTACATTAGTTTAGTGGAATTGTTCGAAACCATTTTTAGCCTAACCATGTAGATGTAAATAGCATAACTCTCTTTCCTCCTCCTCTTCTTCTTCTTATCAACCTTCGGCAGCTTAACCTTCGACGCTTTCTTCGCAGCCTTACCAGATACAACTTTAGGCGGCATCACTTTGTAGACGAACAAAAATATTGAGCATATTTACTTTTACCAATTGAGTGAAAGTAATTAGTATCTTTTGTAGGTCTGTTTTAGATTATCAGTGAGCATTTTAGTTGCATCTTAGGCATATAATACTTTCAGATGTAAAAGAAAGCCTCTTAAAAGTCTGTAATCCTCTTATTTGAAGTATTAAAGGGATAATTTTGATTATTACACTGAAGAAGTTTGGACAAGTTTAATAATTGAAGCGGTGGGGTTATTTAAATAGCTGAGACTATTTCCAAAAAGTGTTTTCTTCAATAGTTGAGATCATGAGTCAATTGAAGCTAGACCATCATAAAAAACCTGGAAGCACTGAACGGCCTACTGTGGACTCCTCATTAATTGAAGAGACCGAGCACATAAACACTACGCCATTTACTTATGTAAAGTGAACACTTTATTTTCTTAAATTATCCAAGGATCTCAGTTTTGTTAGATAAACCTGATTTTTGTTAAATATATAGATAAAAGACGCCAAGTTCATGGGATCATTAGTAAGACGTCTCATTGTTTGTCAACATTCACCACTACTTATCTAATATTTCCTGGCACATCGGAATTGATCTTACACTGAAATCTGTCTCGCCATAAAACCAAATTGTATTGTCATTGGATCAACCATCAGCAAAAGCGAGACCATTTTTGACATACTAGTCAAAAGTCCTCTGTAGAGTGTTTAAAAGTACTCGTTAATCATCTGACCATTGATTTTTAATACTCTGTTGAAAGTCACTATTCAGGAGAATTTTTATTGGAATAATTATAAGTTAGTAGATCTTAAAATGATCATGTCAGAAAGCACTACATTATGTTGTATCCTGGTTCAATAGATTCGGATCATCAGCGTTTAAGCTGATCTTATTAGAACTTATGTAGCCGCAGTTGTGTCAAGTTGACTAGTAGCCTACAGGTTTTCCTATGCTATTCAAGTAGTAGAGCTTTTTGATCAAAAACGTTACTTGTTGCATCAGTTTGTATTTGTTACTTCCAAACGTCGGGTATGTCATCTTATTTCACTGAACATCGTAGAACATAGAGATAACGGCTTACAAGAGTAATATAGTTCCTGTGTTACCTGTAGTGGTCTAATTATCATTATGCATAACATTGCTTCTGTTGCGGCGTGTTATAAGTTATCAACCTCTGAAATTTGTGTCGGAAACATTTAATGATGATGCTAATGAAACAATAGGTATTCAATCAAAGTTTTCCTGATGAATGACTACTATAAAGGATGAGGGAATTCCGGTTGTGTACTATGATTCCTACTAAACTGACTCAGCAGTTTATATTAGAAAGTGATAAAAGGGTTTCTCATGTTTTGATGATGGCCTTTAAGAGTAGAAGACACTCGTAAGCTACTAATATTTGACCACAGATGCCTTAGAAATATTGCTGGCGTCTGCTGGGATCACCGGGTAAGTAATAGTGAGGTTAGATGCAGGGTATAAGGGAAGGATGGTAAATCAGTTGATGAGGTTGTTAATCTTCATCGACTGAGATGGTTGGGTCACGTGTAACGTATGCCCGAACACCGATTACCACGACGTGCAATGCTAACCGGTGTTGGAGATGGTTGGAAGAAGGTTAGGGGCGGCCGAACCAAAACGTGTCATCAGTGCTTGAAGTCACTAACTGCTAGTCTGAGCCATGTTGATAGATGCAGACTACTTGGTTGGGGTCCGCGTGACTATCGTAACCAATGGTTGGAGACTCTTGGTGACATGGCTTAGAATCGATCACAATGGCGTCGGTGTATACACTCTCCGTCTTCTCTTAAACTAAGAGATTAAAATTGCTTTATATCTTTCATTCTACGAACTAATTCTTTCTTCCTGTACTATATCCTTATTGCAATCTTTCTTTTATATATTACCACCTCTAAATTAACCACTTATATGATTCCGGTGTCCATCTTGTTGTGTTAATGAGGTATGGCAACTTGGACCGATGCATATATGTGCCTGGTCCTATGTTGTAGCTGACTGACTGACATGTTTTTATGTCTATCAGTACGGTGGAAATAGCTACATCCAGACATACTTAAAGTTCTTCAGGAGTTTCGTTTCAAGTGTTCACTTGCAACAGTATAAAATAAAAGATATCGTGGGAATAAAGTTCAAACCACATGTAGATACACCTAGCAGTGCTGTACAGGAATTTAAACCCGTGATCTTTTTGAGAAATCAAATAACTAAAAATTTTTATCCAATGAGAAACTGGGCATTTAGTTTAAACTCATAATCTATTTCTCCTTAACTTAGTGTCTATATTTATGATTTCAAGGAAAAAGCGTTTTTGTGATCCAAGAGGAAATCAAAACATATACTGATTTATATGATTTGCTATAAAAACTATGTTTTCCGCAAAAGTACCTTATTTTCAATCAAATGTTTCTCATTTTGCTTATTGGTCAGTCGACTGTGGTCACTTTAACTACTGCTACTCTTCGTCCATTGATGGATCTGGAAATTTGTTTCAGAAAACAATGTCCAGTAGATCCCGATCGTAGTCCTCACCTTCATGTGGTGGTCGGGTTTGAATATCATAATGACAACCGGGTTATATTAGAACACTTGTTCGTTTAAGGCCCACCATGCCAGACAGGTTGGGTGAAGAACAGTAAAACTATAATAAGCGAATTAGAGTCCGAGGTCATCTCACTGACTGCAGGGGTGTGACCGAAGTGAGGTCAGTCAGTCAGTCAGTAACAACGTAGAACTTCGTACTTACGTACATCAGTTCGAGTTGCCACACCACATTAGCACAGAGATGCACTTGTCGATTCAAATCCCGTAGTGGTAGAGGTAATAAGAGCATAAGCAGTAATGGGGAAGATTAGGGTTTGGAGATGTTATTTAAAGAGTATAATCCAGTGAAAGAAATTTGGAAAGAGGAAAAAAGGGACATGAAGAATTCAGAAGATTAGAATTTGGGAGAACACAGAGAGTGGATGCACCTGCGCCATTGCAAACGATTTTGAGCCATGTCATTCAGGGTCTCTAACCATCGGTTGCTATCATCTCGCGGTCCCTAACCAGGTAGTCTACACCTACTAACATGACTCAGTCCACTTGTCAGTGACTTCATGGACTTGTGCCATGTTTTGGTTTGGCCGCCCCTAGCTTTCTTCCAACCTACTCCTATACCACTGAACATAGCACGTCGAGGCAGTCGGTCGTTGGGCATACGTAACACGTGTCCCAGCCATCTCAACTGATGAAGTTTCACTACTTCATCAATTGATTTGCCATCCTTACCTAATACCCGTTTCCTAACAACTGTGTTACTTACTCGATGGTCCCATGATATACGAGCAATGCTTCGAAGACACCTATGATCGAATACTAGTAACCTACGAATATCCTCTACTCTTACCGGCCATGTTTCACTGTCATAAAGTAGGACGGAACGAACTGCTGCGCAGTAAACACGTCCTTTGGTTGATAGACGGATATCTCGCCTATGCCATAAATGACGCAAGTTGGCTAAAGCTAGTTGAATTTTCTGTATCCGTGCTGAGATTTCGTCACACACTAAACCACAAGGGCTGATGAGACTTCCCAGAAAGTGAAGCGGTCGACACACTCAACTACTTCACTCCCTATCATTAGTTCAGTTGTCGATGTAACCCAATCCTGAAGCAACATTTTGCATTTCGAGGGAGAGAATCGCATGCCGAACATGCTTGTATTGTTTCTTATAGTGATTAGAAGACTGTATTTTGCCAGCGTCTTCACCAAATAGAACTATGTCATCAGCATATTCTAAGTCAACAAGTGAACCTCCTGGTAGAAGTTCAACCCCTGGAAATCTTGACGAGGAGAGTGTTATCTCTAAAAGTACGTCAATGACAAAGTTGAACAAGAATGGGGAGAGTGGACAGCCCTGACGAACACCACTTGAGGTGATCAATTCTGATGACAGTTCGCCATAAGCTCTCACTCTACCAGTTGTGTTCGAGTAGAGAGCCTTTATAAGGTTAATGTACTTCTTTGGTACTCCTTTCAGTGACAAACACTGCCATAGAACCTCACGATCAATAGAGTCGAATGCTGCCTTAAGGTCGAGAAATACTACCATTGTGGGGCGTCTGAATGTGTGTCTGTGTTCTAGAACCTGACGTGAATATCTGGTCTATACAACCACGTCCAGGTCGAAAACCAGCCTGATTTTCTCTAGTCTGCTCTTCACGAGCTCTAGTTAGGCGTCGAAGTATTATTGAAGCTAATATTTTAGACACTATATTTGTCAAACTGATTCCTCTGTGATTGTCACAAGAGGATTTTTGTCCTTTCTTATAGACTGGCACAATCAGTGATTGAGACCAGTCAGATGGGATTACGTCCAGTTCCCAAATTTTACCTAAGACCTCAGTTAATCTCATTGCTAATACTGGACCACCATCCTTAAAAATCTCAGGAGTAAACCTGTCAGGGCCTGCTGCTCTCCCGCGCTTCAGATTTCCTATGGCTTTTTCAACTTCGTAAATGGACAGAGGACTTACATTAACTTGCCATTCAGGTTGACTGGAGATCGTGGGAAACCAAAGTGTGGCTGAAGGCCAGTTGAACTGATCCCTAAAGTGTTCTGCCCATCGATCCAATCTCCTGGATTGAGAATGAATAATATGTCCATCTTTCTCTGAGAGTGTTTCGCTAACAGTCAGTTTCCTAATACCGGTTTCCTTAACGAGTCTAAACAATTGTCTGCTATTACCTATTGCCGCTGCCTTTTCCATCTCTCTTGCTTTCGCTACCCACCACTGTTCGCGATCATTGCGTAGACTTCTTGTCAGCTTGCGCTTAAGCTGACTCCGCTCTTCATTATGTTCAAAGCCAGGTGGAATGTGTTTCCGAGCATTTATCAGTGAGATAGATGCTGCTGAGATCCAGTGTTTCTCCCTAACCTTCTGGTTTACCTTACTAGCAGATATCACTGCTGTTTCCACAGCTTTTCGGATATCATTCCATGCTGCATCGGGGTGGGTCCAACGTTGGGACGAATTAGGGGGTCGCCATGTTAAAAGATGTTTTTCCTTATGCTTAAAGTTAGTATTTGCAAGGAACAGGCGGTTATATGAGCATAGCTGCAACAGACGGTCGCCATTATCTGTTCTTTGAGCCACGACACCATAGGATCCACCTAGGTGTCTTTCCTTATCGCTTAGTTTACCTACTTGAGCATTAAAGTCACCGGCCACTATTACTACATCCGAGCGCTTAGCTTTTCGGAGAAGGTCCGAAAGCTTTCTGTAAAACTCATCTTTTACATCATCTGAGCTGCAGTCAGTGGGAGAATAGGCAGAGGCGACGAAGAGGCAACGACGAGTGTCCCTATCTTTCCGGATTCTTACTGTTCCGTTCAGTCGGACAGCGCACAAACGACTGTTTACTGGGATCGACTCTAAGAGAGCTAGTTCTGCCCTAGGACTCAATGCTATACCTACGCCGGCGAGGCCACGGGAAGCAGAATCAGGGCTTCCAGATACACGAAGCGTAAATCGAGTCGGTTCTTTATTTTGGCATGGTGAGGTCAAATGAATGACGCTACTTGGATCCTGTATGCGCGTTTCGGAGACGCAGCACACATCGATGGCGCGAGATTCTAAAGTTTTAGCTAAGGAAGCCTGCTGTCCTATTTGGCAAAGTGTTCGTACGTTAAAAGCTCCTACGTGTAGTTTAGAGCGTGGTTTCAGGAGACCAGGAATGGCGTTCCACGTACTCGAATCGTTTGCCCTAGCGGTGCGAGGTGATAAAGAGACGTGAGGAGGGTTAGTCGGGAGGATAAGAGAGGTATTAGGAGGTGTAGGAAGGATTTGAATGTGACCACCTTGGTCTCTTGTGCTGTTACGGGATTGATGGCTGATGTCACTTCCCGGCTGCCCACACCGTGGGAGGGTATTTCTTGAGGAACCTGAAAAGTAAATTGGATTAGTGTTGGTCTTGACGACCTGGGAGCGTGACCGCAGAGCCCAAGGGACAACTTCTTGAGGCCGGTCGCGCACGGCCTTTTCGTGGGAGGTTTTTGACGTGTTAGCTCCGTTCTTCAAGGGGCCTTACCGCCGGAGACGGAAATCTGTGAGGTAAGGTGAGGTGCGCATTTTTAGTGTCGACCTTTTCTAACCCCACCTCTCCTTGTGGGAAGGCAGCATCGATGTCATGCTGGTTGTCCGAGGGAAACACCTTACTGCTGTCACACCTCTCTACAGTCAGCAGTACGACTTCGCCCTCAGACCTTGAGTTGCTGCTTTTAGTCTTACCGTTCGCCAATCGACCTGCCTGGCATGGTAGAACCTGCAGGAACATATGTTCAAGCTAATATAGCTCGGTTGGGTCATCACGATAGGCAAGCCCGACCACCGCGTCAAGGTAGCAGCTTCGATCGGGACCGAAGTGAGGTGTTTTCCTCAGAGAACGAGGATTGTAACCGATGCTGTTCCCTCACCACGGGATGAGTTAGAAAAAAGTTGGCCCTGAAAATGTTACACTTCACCCATTTTCCGTTGCCAGTTGTAAAGCCTCTTGAAATACGGAGCTAACACATCAAAAACTCCCCATGAATAGGCCACATGTGATTGTCTTTGAGCAGCTTTCCCTTGCGTTCTGTGATCGTGTTTCGTCTCTGTGACCAAAGAAGAATCCAGTTTTCTTTTCAAATCCCTTCATAATGCGGGGAACTGAGAGGTGATTACCTAAAACAACAGCACTCGGAACTTCCTATAGATATCATTTAAATATCTCCACTGGGTTTTGTATTAACAGCAGTACCTACTTAGCGCGCTCCTAGTAAAAAGAATAGTCAAGGATAAGCTTGTAGCTGTTTAGTTTGTCTACCGAAACCGTTTATATAGGAGCACGTAATAATTAGATTGTCTTCGCACAAAACTGACCCCAAAACAAACTTGGTTATTGAGACACAGTGAAGTAATTTACAACTGGCAAGCTAATAACTGGGAATGGATCAAGTCAGTACAGCCCCATAGTTTCACTTCATGTAATACTTTCAGTGTCATAAAACCCTGCTAAAGCACTCAGTGGTCCTTCAGTACATTTTTACTCTATATCATAATTCCAAACCAAAGACAAACTGGCTAATTTGTATGTGCATCTCCTTTTTGCAAGATAGTCTGATGACTATTTTACTAGTAAGTCGAGTACACCTAATTTATCGAGTGGGAAGATATCAAACCCATCCACATAATATGTAAGACTCATGAAAATATAAGTGAAGTTTGGGAACATAGTCGTCAACCTGCAGTAACCGATCTTGATGAACTACAAAGAAATCAACAGCCACTGGGGTAGGACGAGATATTTTAGGTACATTTCTGAAACACCATATCAGGTGGTTTCGTTGAATTAGATTATGACGCATGTAAGCCATACAAAGCCGAGTTTTCGTAATAATCGATAGCTTAAAATGAAGACTGTCTAAAGCTACTGCAACTGGGTTTATTTATTTGAGCAACTAGATATTGGCACAAGGGGGCACCGAATACATATGTGCCACACAAGTCACTTGCTTTGTGTATGGGCTCTGATACTTTCCTTAGGGGGCCACACCCGGAGTCTTCGGCCTAAAGGTCTGATCCACAATGCAGCCGAGCAACGTTAGAAGACGCAGTACCATGGTAGCCGGTGGCCAACAACTGGTTCATACACCATTTGTTTCCTCAGGATCATGGAGCCCATGTACAACATCAATTTGGAATCAGGGTTTTCCAACTCCCCTAGGTAGAACATCTGTGTCCACTATCCCGATTAGAGCGCCGAATACTCGGTTTTCTTCTCAGTTTCGTAAACACCCCCACCACGAGAATACAGTGAGTAGGACTTTCCTGGCAGTCGATTGTATACGCGCGGCCATGTGAGAGCTGACTCTCTCCACCCGTGGGGCATTTAGTGTTTAATGTAGTTAGCTAGGAAGCTGGTTACTAATTCTAAACACAACCCCCTCCCAAAGTTGTCTGAAAGTTTACCACCCAAAAAAATTTATATTGGTCTACTGAATAACCGTTACTAAATGAGTCCAACCTAGTGAAGTATTGTGACACTAATAAAATACTAGATAGAAACCTTTAAAAGAATCACAATGTGATTATGAAATAAAATGGTAGCAACCGATGGTTAGAGACCCTGAATGACATGGCTGAAAATAGTTTGCAATGGCGCAGGTGCATCCACTCTCTGTGTTCTCCCAAATTCTAATCTTCTAAATTCTTCATGTCCCTTTTTTCCTCTTTCCAAGTTAATTTCACTGGATTATACTCCCTGAAGAACACATCTTAATCTTTCCGATTCCTGCTTATACTCCTACCACCTCTACCAATACGGGATTTGAATCGACCGCTGCATCTCTGTGCTAATGTGGTGTGGCAACTCGAACTGATGTA